GCCGGCAGACTGCAATTCACCATCACGGCTGTTGGGCATGTACTTGCACGGGGTGCACCTGTAAGGGAGATCGGGGTTGGAGTAGGATTTCGAGGAGAGGTGCCTAGGGCTCATAGGGTTTGGCATGGCAGTTGTTGGGGCTCGTAGTGTATCCCATTGCACCCCTCTGACTTGCGCTCTCGCAACTGGGACTCTGCCACACGTTCGCGTCTGGCAAAGTCCGGAGTTGCGAGCTCGTGAAGCCAGAGCCTCTGATTTTAGGGTGCGGGGTGCCTAGAGGGCTTCCATAGGTGAGGAGAGCTTGTGAGGCTTAGGGTTCCGATGACTTCGAAGGTCACCAATGTTTTAGAGATCATAGTGTTCCGGATTGTTTGTGCGTGTGTATAGTCACAAGCACATAGATACATACATACATATATATATATATGCACATCTATGGACATCTAGGACGTATATACACATATAGGAGAAGACAGAAATATCAACCAAAAAACACGAGAACGAGTGCGCAGTGCCCTCTCTTCAGGTACGGCTGCAGGCTCAAGGGCTGTAACTTTGGGGCTCCTCATGCCCTGAAGCTCTAAAGCCTTCTAGGAGCTTCAGAACCTCAAGGACCAGAACCCGAAGGCCTAACGTATAAACATTGGCCTTACTGTAGTCCCTATATAGGTACATTGGGCCCAAAGTATATATTGTTTGGGTACATGGACCCTTAGGGTAAGGGTGCAAAGGACTCGATAATTAGGCACTCAGGTGTCGGAGAGTAGATATGTAGGTGCCTATTTGGGAGAGCTTATGATTATTGGGTACGTGGGCCCTTAGGGTAACACAGACAGCCAATATTAGCAGGATCCCTACTCTACGGATCCCTGCATAAGGTACCCTGAAATCTATGAGAACCCTCCAGAAAGGCTCGGGCGGAGCTCTACGGATGCTTGGATGATGGCCGCCATGTCCTGGCCATATATGCACATATATATATATATATATGTGCATATGGTAGTTTCCGAAATACGGTACCTCATTGTGGGGTCCTGAAAATACGGGTCCTACTACTTTTTAGGGTACTATATTTGGGTCCCCTATTTTCGGAAACTCACCCATATACATATGTACCCGATACCAGGCCGCAAAAATTGAACCGGAAACACCAGCGTTCTAAACAGCAAGCCCCACACCCCAGACCCAGACCCATGTATACTCATACTATAAAGATTAGATTGCAGTACTCGGCTTCTTGCCATCGGACCTCATGCACAAAGTATGTTTTTCAAGCATCGTCCCGGCATGCTCCCATAGCTCCGACAAGCATCTAAGCAACGTACTGCAGACCCCTAATTTATAAGCCTGAGGAGCGTAAGAGGCATCCTAATACTTGAGCCTTGAAAGATATTAGGAGATTATGTGACAGAGGTCTACATGATACCTTCGCAATCACTGCCCCTAAGGCTCTAAGGACTCATAGTTTAAGGCTTTTGGGCCTAAAGACCATATTATATAAGGCTTTTGGGCCATTTTGAGCCTTAGGAGGGTCGGGGGACTTAGTAAGTAGGTAGTAAGTAGACTTATAAGTACCCTAAAAGGGACCCTAATTGGGGTTTTTGATACATAGGGTAATCGCTGCATCCCAAGCGCTGAGGGAGGTCCACCTCCTGTACCGCCGTCTCTCCGAGACGTTGCGCCGAAATTTGCCGTGCAGGGTTTACGCTCTCGCGATGCTAAAATATACTACAATAGATACACTATAATATACTATAATGATAGTCTATAATATATACACTATGATATACTATAACGATATACTATAATATATACACTATAATATACTATATGCACTTTCATATGCTATGACACTTTACGCGTGTAAACTACAGGTCGAAAGTTGACCACGAAAGCTAGCACAAAGGAGTTATACCAAGACACCAGCTGCCGATGTGAAAAAAGGGTTTCGGCGCTCACACTCGGACAGGTCGCCACACCTCAGCCGTCCAGGCTCCTGTATCCTAAACATCTTGAATTGAAAAAGGGTTTAGGGTCTAGGGGTTGAAGCTCCCGGAAGATGCCCGAAACCCTCCATGCGGATTCGTCTTATAAAGATTTTCTTCAACAGCCAACTCCAAACCCGTGATCCGCCGCCAACTCGCCAAACAAGAACTAGTAAAGCCGTGCCTAACAGCATACCTCGGATTCCCTGGCCAGAATACGACATGAACCCCACACTGTTGTACCAACTCGCCATACTCGCCCAACACATGAAGTCGAAAACAAATCGGCTCATAATAGACGATAAAAATATACTATAATATGTACACTACAATATACCATATACACTGTAATATACCATGATAATATGCGATCATAATCATAAGCCGGGCTCCTCGGGTGTGGCGGCAGAGAGGCGGGAGGCCATCAGGGCGCCAACGGAGCTCACGCCATCCTCAGGTGCTCCAACCGTGGGGGCATAATACAGGGAACTCCAGAAAGTTGGAATATGGTTTCAGGGTAGGATACCCTATAATTTACCATAAAGGGGTTTAGGATAATCATATTCCAACTTTCTGGCTTTTACTGTAATACAGGGGCCTGAATAACTGTTCGGTGGTATGTTATGCCATGCTTCATTTCAGGACCCTTAGGGTATAGTTATTGGTAGCCATGCAGGCGTCTATAGTATGTTGTGCATCTTTGATTGTGTTTTCGTCTTCTTGCCACTGACTTGAAGAGAATGGGCTCTTCTCTGTCTGTGTCTCCCTATGCTTCTGTCCGTGCATCTCTCAATACACAGAACATGCTACACCTAAAGTTAAATATAAAGACAACGAAAGATGAGAAAGGACAACAAACATTTAGTTTTTAGAACTACATACATAAACACGTGCATGTATACATACACACAGACTCAAAGCGCACGTGCAGATTCAGCAACAGCCAGAAGTTCATCTGTGCATCCATCCGTCTGTCCATCCATCCATATCTGAATCCACCTCTATATCTATATGTATCTATCGGTCCACCGATCTATCAGTTATCAATTACGCACCTACTACTAACAGTGCGTCCCGACATGCCTTAAGAAACAGCTCACAAACATACATGCATGTATATACAGATCTACGCGCATACGTACATACCTACCCACACACACACACTACACACATACTCGGCCACATACATGCAGAAAGAATCAGGTGCATGCAGCATCCATAAATACCAGCAGACATGCAAAGACACTGCATGCATACGCGCATACACACATGAATACATACATACATACGTACATACATGCATACACAATTACACACACTGTACCGTACGAATAACCGTGCGCACATAGAGACACATACATACATACATGGGTACATACATACATACATGCATTCATGCATACAGACGTGCATGCGCAAGTACATGCATGCATACACACACATACACACCCAGGCCCAAACCGAGCATACATACATACGTGCATAAGTACACCTACATGCATAGTGACATGGATACTTGCATGCATGCATGCATGCATCTGCATGAACATACGGACACTCGCGTACATACACAAACACACACACACACACACACAAACAGGCATGTGCGCGTAAACACCTACATGCAAATGCCAGAACATACATATACATATACATATACATATACATATACATATACACTGTATATATACATATATATGTACATATGTGCGTATATATATGTATATGTATACACACATACATACATGCAGCCGTCATCGTCTCGGACCTTCATATATCTCGTCCTTCATAGTGTTTCAGAGAAGCTGTGTACACTACTTAGGCGCTCTTGTCACAAATGTATCCGACTACTGAGAATTCTACATTTAGGGGCCCTCTATTACAATGCTTAGGGTGCTATATTTGCGGTCCGTGTTGTCGGAAACTTCCAAAATCGCCAGCAGTCCCTGCGAACGGCTTGGGCATGTATGCACCGAACACACACAACTATGCCAGTTGCCAGAGGGACCGGGAAGTGTGTGCCGTGATTAATGCCGGCTAACTTTTGGCAGCAGTTCACGCAGCAGCACGGAAAGCAACACTTGCCAACTAGCCTCGGAAGCACGCTCAATTCATGTTGTTGGAACACAAGTGCGTATGCTGAGCCTGGCGCACCAATCACGGAGTTTCGCACCTTAGGAGGCCCACCGCCGCAATTCGAATGTAGGGGCTTTCATAAGCAATGGCTTCTAAATTCCCGTGTAATTGCCAAAACCAGGCCTTTGGAATCCAAATTCTGGGTATGCTATATTCAATACTTAAAGGATCAAGGGACTTCGTAACTGGGGTTATACATAAGGAAATTATACTTATAACTACTTATAACCCAAAAAAGTTACTTCTAACCTCACTTACTAAGTCCCATGATCCTCCAAGTATTCTACCGCAGAACGGGAATGGATCCCGAAAGTAGTCCCTACATAATTCCCAGTAGTAGTCCCCATAAACCATTCCCCCATTCCCTACTAGGAATCAGACAGAAAAAAAGGGAAGCCCATGCAAGACATTCCTTCCCGGGCTTTGTTTGGAAGGCAAGCCCTGCAGAACCCCAAGGCCTGTGGGTGGTTGTCAAAAGTATGGTCCCTTTTTGGGTCCTTAAGATAATACGGCACCCATTATGTAGGGTACCCAACACGGGACCCTAATTTTGACAACCACCCCTGTAAAAGTTCCAGAGTTTAGGGCTTGAGGTTTCGGTGCTCACACTCGGACATGCCTCGCGAGGGTATGGGTCTAAGTGGGATCTCCTCGGCCTAGCAGGACACGGGCACAAAGGGGGCACTCGAATTCAAGCATCCAGCAGGAAGAAGGCTTGAAAGCAGGCTGTGCAAACTTTTCTGTCTGCACAGGTGCAGCACACAGTGCAAACAAAAACGGCAACTTCAAGAACCACGCCTCGCACATGGAAGTTCAGACACCTCGGGTGCCTCTGAGACAGCAACTCCGATTCAAAGAATTCGCCGTCTCGGAACTGCCCTATAGCTTGGGGTAGCTCGAATCTGAGAGGATACCGCACATCCCACAAACTGGGAGAGAGGACGGTCCTCCACGGCATCCAACCCCGACCTTCGGGTCGTAGTCGGTGCCGCAAAACCCGTTGTGTCCCCCATTCGACTCATCCCCATCATGGCGCAGCAGACGCATGTAGCCCTCCTCCCCCCAGTCGGCTCCCCATGAGTTTCGAATCAGCCAATACTTCTGCCCCTTCCTCAGCTGCAAAATCGCATAAGAAAAGCATGATGCTGGGACTAGTGCTGGGCATCGTGGTGGGGGCCTGCAACTCTCGACAGTGTTTGACGTCGGGTTGCTTATCCTGCCCATAGCCGACCAGCAGGACTGCGTGGTTGATGGTGGCGTCCTGCGCATTATCAAACTTCTTGTTACACTGCTGATGATCTCAATCCTGCATTACCTTTAGGACCCTAAACTATGGGAATTATGGTATATCCCCTATTATGGGTAATGCAGGATTTATATCACCAACCGTAGGTCAGTGGGAGCTTTGACTTCGTACTTGGTTCCCCCGGGTCCTTCCGGCCTTCTCCTTACTAAGTCGGAGCTTTGACTTCGCATTTAGGTCCCGGGTCCTTCTGGCAGCCGTTGAAAATGCCACCATCGTATATAGTCCATGCCTCCGCATCCACGGATACGACTGCAGGGCCTTTCTCGGACAACGTGGTAAGGAGCGGCAGGAGCTGGTTTTCCTTCAGGGCAAGGCGGTTATCTTAGATCCCAAGATTATATGATAAAACATCTCCTTGGTACCAAAGCACTCAGATTAAAGGTGTTTGCTGGTCTGCATGGGATAACCTCAACTTGCGACCGACAGGAGCCCACTTCCATGGAACGAGGCAGTGCGAAGGTGGGCAACTGTGCTGCATTTGTGAGTGTACAATGAAGAGTATATGCTGACCCGTGAGGTTACTGAATGGTACACTCTTCACGGCCCAAGGGTACACTATGCAGGTGTGCCGGCATCCCATGCGTTCGACAGGTCGTCCGGATATAGTGCTGAATCGCGGGGATCGATCAAACTTTCTATTGCCATGACTTCACCCACCTCCTAACTGATTAAGAAACCTTGCACCTTTATTCGGGTTGTTTATATGAATCTATACTACTTCGGGGTTATAGCACCGGGGTTTCTTAATCAGGTTCATTGCTCCAAATGGGAGTTTCCAAAAATAGGGGACCCTAATATAGTACCCTAAATAGTAGGACCCTTATTATAAGGACCCCCAAAATGAGGTACCCCTAATTTTCGGAAACTCCCAAATGCAGTCAGCAGAACCGATCATATGAGCATGACAGACACGCCTTCACGAAGTCGGCTGCAACTTAGACTTGATATAGGGGCCTTAGTAGTTAGAACAGGGGTTTTGGGGCCCAATATACGATAAGTATAATAAGGAACACCTAGAAATAGTATAGGAAATTATGTAGGCCCCCAAAATGATATTCTGCCCATAGCGAGAAGCAATCACTCGCAATACAAGTCTCAATTCCAGTGACCATTTGCCCCATCCAGCCGACACTTCCAAGAAGCCAACCGCCGCGTGGATGGATGGATGGATGGGTGGCTGGGTGGCTGGCCGGGTGGATGGATGCATGGGCGGGTGGATGGATGGATGGACGGATGGATGCATGGATGGACGGACGGATGGATGCATGGATGGATGGGTGGATGGCTGGGTGGCTGGGTGGCTGGCCGGGTGGATGGATGCATGGGTGGATGGATGGATACATGGATGGATGGATGGATGGATGCATGGATGGATGGGTGCATGGAAACTCGCGCGCACACACACACACACACTTATGTATTCAGTTGTTTCACTTGCTACCGTACAGGCATGCTACAATGCAAGTGTGAACAATACCTACAGTGTAAAGCACCCTCTGTATAGTTGACAAAGCTACCACATGCGTGTAGTATGTAAGTATTCCTACACAAATACAGATATGTATACATGCAATCCATCCGCTGTTTCTGTCACGACCAACACGGTTGATGATATAAACCCTGCATTGCCGAAGGGACCCTAAACTATGGGAATTATGAGAGGTATCTTCCGAATTATGGGTAACGCAAGATTTATATCATCAACCCCGGTAAAGTCCCCTGCCCCCGGCAGCTCCGGCAGCTTGACGAAACCTCTCGTGTTCAGGACCGATGTCGGCTGCCTGCTACTGGTGTTTTGCTTCTAGCTGGAGTTCCTGAAAATAGGGGTACCTTGGGGTTCCTATCAAGGGCTCTACAAGGGTCTTGGAATGTTGGAGTCCTTATAATAAAGGTCCCCCTGTTCAGGGTGTTATATTAAGGTCCCATATTTTCGAAAACTCCATGCTTAGACAAAGGGGGGATTGGTCTTTAGGGTTTAGGGTCAGAGAGAATAGTTTCAAGTTTAACCTTAAGCCCGGACTGTGGCTCTGATTGCCACCAGAGCCCGCAAACCGAAATGATGAGAGCTGGTGAATAAACGCTAAACGCGAACCTTGGCAAAGATTGGAAACCATCAAAGCTGACGCCACAACACTTGACATGGGCAATCAATACTATACAGGGCCTCAGTCATTCGAACATGGCTTTTTGATATGCTCTACTTTAACTATAGTACGGAGCCTGCAGCAGCCCTGTCAACTTATTCAGGCTTCTATACTACCGTCACCCTTCGGCCGAAAACTCCTCTGTACCAGAGAACTATAGAATCTATTTTATGTAAGTTTTAGGATTTTAAGCAGCCGCTGGAAAATCCTTATGCTGAGTGCATAGCATCTCTGTTTCCCTCTTCGTGCCGAATGCCACGCAAGCACAAAGCAGCATAGCTATTTGGTAGTAAACCTCTCGACGGATCCCAGATCTTTCCCACCGATTGGAAAGCAGAAGTCGGCAAGCCAAAGGCTCATTTCTCTCGTGATCGCTGGCCTTGTATCTACATGTTCCATGCCCAGTCCACTGCATCAAGAGTGTAACCCGAAGATGTGCTGCGTGGACACCGTTTGAAGGCTTGCAGCATGCTGGCCTGCACTTGCCATCCACCTCCGAGTCTTTGTAGTCGTCCTACTTGGCGGATCCATGTTACTTAGTATTTACAGTTATAAGTACCTTAATTGGGGTTATAAGTAATTATAAGCATAGTTACCTTATCTATAACCCCTGTTACTAAGTCCCATGATCCTTTAAGTACATGCGAGGGGAGGTTAGAGGGCGCTTTGGCTGAAATTCGGGACTTTCGAGGAATCTTGCAGTTTCCCGGTTTCTGGTCTAGTCCAGCATTCTGCGGTTTGTGACTCAAACTTCAACTTGCGGTCTGCGGCTTAGGGCTTTAGAGCTTAAAACGTTGAGGCTTCCACCCTCCCATTGCTGTGTCGGAGCATAGTGTTTCTCTCAAACATCCGTGGAACCTAACAACAGTCAGACAAGCTCTAATCAGTCGCGCCCCCAAACAGTAAGTGCACGGCGCAAATCCCTAGCCCTACAAGCCTACAAGCAAAGCTTCTGAGAGTGATCATGAGGGCTGCCGATTCAGATTGATCTGGCATATGTAACAGAGGGCTTTCTACAGAAGACTCTCAGCCCTGCACTCCTACTTCCAGATGACCCGAAACCATACCAGCCCCAACTGAAAGCATCCCAAAATCACTATGGAGCCCTTATGAAGCCCTAACTGGGCCTCAACCGAAAGCAACACCAAGCAAGTGATGCGATGTCCTCGCTGGCAATCCCGTTCTGGTGCACGTACTGAAAGGCCAACTCTGCCTTACTTCGGGGGGGTCAAACAACCAGGCACATGTGAATTACATACAAAGAGCTTTTCAGTTTGTATGGGGTTTGTAGTCCCCAAACAGTGTGGCTGCGTACCACTGTGGGGTTCTACAAAGTTCGGCCTAAAGACACGAACCAGGTTCAAGCAATACAACGGGCCAAATTGTGGCCTCGAAAACTCCGAATCCCAGCCAGTGATTGAGGGAAAGCATGTTAGCCGTGCTCCTGAATCCCGCCAGTAGTTGCAGGAACTCCTGAAAGCAGTTTGGTGGTGTTTGTGTACTCTCGTTGTGGTCTCTTGGTGGTCTTGGTAGTGCTGACCGTCTTGGTCAGGCTGCTTGTCGTGGACGTCATGGCCGTCAAAGCGCTCTTTCTACTGCTGGGGGATCTACGCTGGTATCATCTGGATTCTAAAAAGCTAGTGCAGCTAGTAAGTAAGTACACGGATTTTATGATCCAAGCAGCTGTAGCCCCCGAGCAGCCACCATCACCGCCGCAATGCTTAGGATTCGGCGTACAGTCCTTGCGATGCGCCGTTTTAGGGTTGAGGGTGTTTAGGGACTTTATGGCTTTTCGGGCTTAAAGCTGACAGGGCTTAGGGGGGTTTAGGGTTGAGGGCTTTTTGGTAAAAGGTCTTGGGTTCAGAGCTGCCCCTATGGTTGAAGGTCTACAAATTCTCGGGTGGCCATCAAGGCAGCATCGAAAGGGAAGGAAACGATGGGAAAACGAAGCGAATGCAGAATGCTTTGAGTGGATGGTTGGCTGCGATATATATATATATATATATATATATATATATATGGTCACCCCCCCCCCATGACAGACCATGCCCTTTCGACTCAGTCGTAGTGCATGGTCTGTGATCGGGGGGAGGGGGCACTCAGCTTTCAAAGCCTCAATTCCAAAATTTCCAAAATTTCCAAAATTCTCTCCCCTAACTTTCCGGAGTTCCAAAATTTCCAAAATTTCCGAAATTTCCAAAATTTCCAAAATTTCCAATAAGTCCGCCCTTATGTTTTGGAAAAATCCTGTCGACTAGGTCGGGAAATTTTGGAAATTTTGGAAATTTTGGAAATTTTGGAAATTTCGGAAATTTCGGAAATGGAAATTTTGGAAATTTTGGAAATTTTGGAAATGCGGAAAGTTAGGGGAGAGAATTTTGGAAATTTTGGAAATTTTGGAAATGCTGGAATCTGTTCTATATATGACTCAAGTAAGATTACTGTGTAGTGCTTACTATGTAGTGTATCAGCACAACCCTCATCCATACACGTGTGCTCTGTAATTCCTTTCTTGGTAGGACACCCGCGCGCCTTGTCGTGCTAGTCTCCGCATCGGACCAGATTACTTGCAAAGGCAAGGGCTGTCAATACTCATGCCCATATTTGCACGAATATCTCTCTATCTATCTGTATATCTATATATATATACACATATATGTATTGATACTCCTACATATAGTATTGCCATTGAACATACTGACATTGATCATTTGTTGAATGCTCAAGCTAATACCAGCATTACTACTAATATTACACTTCTATAAAGCTTAGTACGAATATGCATAACACAAATACTAAGATTGATTAGTATTGCTCTTAGTACTCCTACGCATATCAATAACCATATTCATATTGATAATAATGTATAATAATACCAATACTAACACACACCTGTATGTACTAATGTACATAAACATGCATACCACCATATTAAAATACAAATCCTTTAACTCACTCATGAATTCAACTGTTATGCGTGGGGGATTGATCTCGACTTGGTTGCTGCTCTCCCCACCAGAGCTGTAATGAATATAGGTGTGGCTGGCTAGCACTCTCCACAGACTGGACCCTGTCTCTCCCTCTTACTCCCACACGTGCAATCCTATGCAGGCAGAACCGGCGGCCGTTCCTTTTGCACTCACTGCCGGCGGCGGTTCGTCTGTGCAACGGGATAGCTCTGATTGCTCAGGATAGAAGACACATATAGCACTTAGCTATGGGCATTGACTTGAGCCAAACGTTGCGTTGGCGGTCACATAGAAAGGTAAAGATGAGGGATGCGTAGCATGCCCCCT